AGGTCCCTTCCAGCCCTAAAGTCTATGAAATCTATGAAACTGCAGAATTGCCTAATTAGCTCTTCAGTAAATGTCTCAGTGTCTATACATGCAGGGCTATTAGGCTAGAGTAAACTAATAAACTCCACTGTAGGTTAGTACTTGTAAATACAAGCACTACGCTGTGGTGGAGTTTTTTACTCCACAGCAACACACATGTAGATGCTGACAGCGCTGTCTGGGGTCTGCCAGCTAGACCCATACTATAACACCCTTGTGCCCCAGCCAGTCACTCCACAGCACTTTGAACTGAGTTGGAGCAGCCCCAGGCTGGCAGCTGATCCTCTGGGTTCTCTGCCAGTCAGGGCTACCCCCACCTGGCTCAAAGTGCTATGGTCCCAGGAACATGTGTAAACACGGCACCTGGGAGCAATAACTCTGGTATGATATGTGCAAGAGTTTACTGCTGCACATTAATATGCATATTAGAAGAGCAAGAAATCACAACCATTTAAGGATTACATTCTGAATAGAATATGAAAACAGTAAAAGGCAAAGTTCCCAAGAGACCATCAGCATCAATTTGTTAGTGCCCTGATATTCAATGTGTCCCTTAACAAAAGCTTTGAAAAACCAGAAATTAAACAAAAAGCAAAAGCCCTTTGCTGCAGAGTTCAATAATGCAAGTGACATTCCTATGCAAATTTGGCACTTCTCACAGGTAGATGTGTTTAGAAATGTGAAACTAGGGTGTTATTTCTATGAAAACTGCATTATGTTACTTACTGGATGCATCTACACATGCACTTTACTGTGGAGTTGACTCAGCTTCGCAGTAAAACATCACCATCTACACATGTGGTGCTATTAGGATGGAGTAAATTAATTAACTCTAGTGTAGAATAGTACTGCTCGAGACAAATACTATCCTACAGCAGAGTTATTTAATGCACTGAAATGAAAGTGTAAATGGTGACGGGGCTGGCTGGGGCACAAGGGTGCTACAGTATGGAGGCTGCCTGCCAGCTAGCCCACACTGGAGTGCCCTTGTACCCCAGCCAGCCCCTCTGCTACACATTTTGCTGGGGTGGAGCAGCTGACCCCCAGGCCCCACTGCCAGCTGGGGCTACTCCACCCTGGCTCAGTGTGCTATTATCCCAGGCGCACGTGTAATCACTGCACCCAGGAGCAATAAACTCTGGCATGAAGTATGATAGAGTTCATTCAGGCACATTAATAGTATGTGTAGATGTGCCCACTGGTAGTTAGTGCCATATATTTGTATACTGCTCTCAGATCAATAAAAATAAGGTCCACACCCCAAGCCCAATTAGACTGAAAATACATTTTTTTTAAAGCTTATTTGGTTGTTAAATTGTATCTCTTATAACCTTGCTGTTCTCCTAGAGGCACTCAGCACTTGCAATTGCATGCATGTGGTGTGGAGTTAGTAAAAGATCAACATTTTAGAAGTATATTAAAGTCATAAGGGAGCATGAAGGCTGTGAAGGAAAGGCAATATTAGATATATAGAAAATATTATTGTCATGGAGAGGCAATTGTGTTATATAGCGGTGGCTGTTTATTAAATTATACAATTGTCAGCCTGTGGCCTCAGCATGGCCGTCATGGCTACTCATCTAAGCCTGCCACCCTGCAGGATGGTCACCCAGGCTGTCAAATCTGGCCTGAAGCCTCCAGCAGAGCCTAACCCTCCGCCCACTCCCTGACACCAGAGTGGCGAGCTGGAGTCAGCTGACTGCACTTCCCTCATGTATCTCTCTGACCCAGAACAGGAAGTGTCTGGGAACAGGGCTCTACCTGACTCTAGACTACACTGCTGTTCCCTTTGGCTTGTTCTCTGACTCCACCTATTGCTTGATCTCCCACCTTCTCGACCCAGCTTGCTCTCTTAATTTGGTCTCTGCCTGATCTCCCAGCTTTTTGACTCAGGTTTCTAGTCTCTGCTCTCAGACTGACATCCTGGCCTTCTGAACCTGCCTGTACCTGAATTGTGCACACTCCTTCTGCCCCTGGTCAGCACCTTAATCCCCAAGTGGCCCCAAATCTGGGCACACATGACTTAGTGTGACAATAATTGTGTGTGTGTGTTTCATGGTTGTGTGATTTCAGTATTATCAACATAATACTTATTTTGACCTTTTGAATTTTTTTCCACATAAAAAATCTTGTTAGAATTAATGTTTCCACTGAATGATTTGACTCTAATGAAGTTTCATTTTCCAATGGAGAGATGTTCTTTCAGAAAAATTCAGCCAGCTCATATGCATATACAACTAGCCCTAGCACATATACAGGTTGTTCAGGTGGCCTTTAGGAGGACCAACCCATGTCCAGACCATAGACTTTTTGATTCCTTTTTGCCCTGGATCTGAAGAAACAAATCCTAGTATTCTAAAATATGACAATATTTTCACTGAATGATTTCATTCAGGCTAACAGGATCTGTGTGACAGTCCACGAAGTGTAGGCATGGACACACACAAGATTTAGCATGATTTAAATGAAGTATAAACCTCAAGTGGAGAGTATACAAGGCTGTCAAAGTGGTTTCTATCTTTCTGGAACAGTTCAAAAGTATACCTGGAAAATGTAGTACTATTTTGAACCAGTTCAGTTTATGAGTAGAAACCATGGGGATTCCTTAAGATGGGTTTTGGTGGTATACCAGGCATCCCACACTACATCATTTCTTACTCTTTCCCCTTTACTGCTGCAACTGGCTGCTCTGGTACATAGGCAGAACTTTACTGCTTCCTCTTTTCCCTCTAGTTGGTATGTCTGACCTGTGAACTTCCTCATGGTGTTTGTTCAATAAAAGCTATCTTTCAAACAGTCAGGTGTGTCCTTATTTCATACTCAATCACAGCTCATTATCATGCTGAACCCATGGGAATCAAAAAGCATGGGTCCACACCCTCCCCCAAATCAGGCCAGCGCATTGCAGATTTTGGTCATCTACAGACTACTGAAGTTTAGTAGTTACTGATGTTTACTGAACTCATGTTTAGGAAAGGAAGGAAAAAAGAAGTGAAAGTGCCCCAGCTCCAGGTTAAACACCTCCTCACATCTCCAAGCATGGGTGCAAGTACTCCCTCCCCACTCACCATTCTGAATGGTGCTGGGCTGGGTGCTTACTCCCACAGTACTTCACACAATTATGAATTGGTTCCTAGTCCACAACATTGGTTATGTGTGTCCATACCCTTTTAGAACCATACAGCAAAAGGATAGGTAGAGATGGGAACATGAAGCAATAGCAGTTCTCAGAATAGAAGGGCTGGACATCTTTATGGTTGTTCTATTTCTGCAACACCATTAAATGGTTACAGGGATGTGGTACACAGGACTGATGAACTGGACCTGAGTAAGCTTTGCTTTAATCAACCTAGCCATTATGCTTCCCCTCAGAAGACAAGGGCCCTCCTTCAGGTTCTTTTTTCTCCTTCCCTTTAATCACATGAATTTCACTGGCTCTCCTCCTAATCCCTGTGGCCTTCTAAGCATGAAGGTTTTATGTAGTATCTTGGACCACTGCTGGCATGCCAGAGCAGCTTCACCAGAACTTGCATAAGAGTACAACATCTTTACCACCATATTATCTAAACATCCTCTGAACAGGATTAGCTGAAATGGCAATGAAAATGTCTGAGAGTTCTGATGCATTAGTTTTCACCGTTGCACCGGTTCCCCAATCTAGGATCCGATCCTCTAAACACTTAGGTGTGTATTTGGGCCAGATTCTCTGATGTATTACAGCATCTTTGCCGCTGTTCTAAGTCAAGTTGCAGTAGCGGAAGGTCCTGAGAATTGGAAAGGCACACCCAGCTCTTCAATGGTTCTCATACATCTCAGCACTGAACAGAACTCTGATACAGGAAAGAACAGAGGCTGTATACCTTTAGCACATTAGTAGTCCACTATCTACTCAAGGATTTAAATTTAAGCATATTCCTAAGTACTTGTAGGATCAGGGCCTATCCTGAATCCCATCAGGTCAAGAATGCTGTCATTACAGAAACATGTTAACTAAGCATAACTCTAGCTACAGGCCGCATGTAGACGAAAGAAGAGATGTGTGTGCACACTTTAAAGCGGATAAATCCTTTTGCACCGCTTTAATGGTGTCAGTGTTTGCATTAATTACAGCTGCTGTAGGAAATGCTGCGGCATAATGCACCTTAAATGACTCGGTGCAGCAAACTAAAAGTCCTTTGAGGAGTTTTAGTTTGCTGCCCTACAATTGCAGAGTGAAGCACTCAGCCCCATGCAGCTCAGGGGCTCTGCAGGAAGCCCTGGAGGCAGCTCTGCCCAAGAAAAGTGGCAAGCCTGATCTTTTTTTTTTTCCCCTGGTGCCTGCCTGCCTGCCTAAACTGTGCCGGGGCCCAGTGCTTCCCTCTGCGACTGTGGTGCTCCCTGGGACCGCCGGAGCCGAGTGCCTGCAGGTGGGTGCTGCCTGTGTGGGGCCGCAGAGGGAAGCACCAGCCTCTCTCACTGCCCAGGAAGCGCTCCGCCCGCTGGCAGCTCACCCTCCCCTCCCCACCGGAGAGGCAGGGAAGTCAGCTGGGGGTGTAGATGACATGGGGGTTTAAATCAGCCCTAAATTGAAGCGGTGTTGTTTAAAACCCACCACTTCAATTTAGGGCCTCTGTATCGTCTACACATGCCCATAAACTACTGCTATCTATTACACAGTTTCAGCAAAAGCTTACTTTATCTTCTTTCACCTCCCTACATATAAGTTAACTAATTTGTCTTAATATAATTTTAAAGTGATGAGTTTATAGAAAGAAATATCAGAGAATTTTTATACATATATTTTTATTACTTTTGGTTATTGATTGATTCTATTCTGAATGTTAAAATTAATATATATGAAATGTAATTAAAATATCTAGCTATAACTAGATATATCCATATATATCTATCCATATATATATATATATATATATATTTTTTTTTTTTTAAACTAATTTTTTTATTTTTAAAAAACTCATATATTGTTTAAAAAACTCAAAGTCAGCCTGGATATATGTTTGATTAAATAAAAGAAATAAACATACCCAGGAGCAAAATTAATATTTGGGGCAAGGGAAGCTTGCAGGCTTAAGAAAGGTAAGGCTGCTTCTGGGAAGTTCTTCCTGCTTTAACTGTGAATATGCCATCTCTTGCTGACATATGATACTTTTGGAACAATTCAGAAGCACAGAAATGAGGAAAAAAGTACTTACCACAACTTAAATTGTTTTCTGCTTTCAGTGCTGATTTTGGGATACTCCAGAACTCATTTTCCCAGTCTATAATGTTCCCTGGCACATCACAGCTGAGATTGGACAGTGTTTGGGAATTCATGGTGAAATTCCAAAGACGAAAATTGTAAATGTCTCCATTTAGAGAGCTTATTTCATCTCTGTCAGAGCCCAACACTAGGTTCCCATTCCTTGGAATAATCTTTTGAAAGGTATCTGGGCAGTAAATTGTACGATAGGTGTTCTTTGCATTTATACCTAGACTGCCAGAAAAGCCATCCCATACAATGCAGAGTTGTTCAAATGTTCCTGTAAAAAAGTCTCCAGCTGGATTTTTGTCCAGGGCATCTTCTAACATGCATTCTATGCCTGAGATAAATAGTAAATGGCCTTTTGTGGTCTTCCCAAAACTGAGGCACTCTTTTGACAAAGAATCACTGTAGGAGAAAGCCTTCCAATCATCATTGTCATCATTGATGGCTTTGGTTGCTTCAAAGCAGAGTGTGAATTGTCTAAGATCTGGTATTGAGACAGTTTTTGCCATAGACACGGTTTCTGCACCAGAGGTCTGGGGGATGACGATTTTTTGATTTCTCAGAGACACAGCAACTAGAAGAAAAAATAATATAAACTATATAAATGAGCCAAAAGGAGGTACACGTTCGATTAAAGACAATGACTGAAGTACAATTTGTTAAACAAAACATTTATGAGGAAGCTTTCATCACTATATTACATCAGTGGTACATATAAAGAGCCATTTAGCTTGATAACGTATTCAAATAAAATGTGCAAAGATAATTTTAGTGCTGCATTTAGTGCTGCAGATCTATAAGTGTTAACTGTTAAGGCTTTCATAAGAAATATATTAGCCTCTAAGTCTGCAGTCAACAAGACGTTTGTAAAATTACTTTTCATTTATCAGGTAACTTGCAAGGATTCATTGATGCATTAGACAATACAGTATATGAAAACCATTTGAAAACCACATTTTATTTGATTTTATGGTTTTTACTAATATTTTTAATGACTTATTTTGCATGAGTGCATTTCTCCAGTGAATTCAATGCCACACATCTTGAAAGACTGACTCAACTATAATCCTTGGCAAATTAAAATCTTTTGTTCCTGAACTCAACTGATGGACTTCTGTTGGATTAGGAGTCTCTCTCTCAAAAGTCAACTAGTTTAATATTGCAAGTATTTATTCATGTGTACTCTTGCTTTTGCCATTCTCTACTTGTGAGTATTTGTAGGAATGAGTGGGGATTTTACAAACATATCTAAGATAGCTGAACTTTTTTACAGAAATGGCTATGAACAAGGGGATTTGTATATGAAAGAGAACATCTACTGTTCCTGTTCATCATTTGATATTTCTTATTTGTTATTGTCTTGCCTGAGAAGTATCAATTATCCCATAAGGCAGCAAAGAACACCAGCATACTATTTAGGTTGTGTTAACATGAGAAACTAAAGGTAGAAATAAACTGAGATAATTAAATCCCTATAGTCATATAGGTATAAGTTCCTGTGTGCATATTCTTCTTTGAGAAAGACACTGACAACATTACTGATATAACCACAGTGGTATAATTCTGCTGGTAGATTTTCCAATGTACCCCCCCACACACCTCCCTGGCTGGGCAATTGGCCTCAGAGGGACCCCAGGTGCTCCCTCAGACCCAGGAGGCACCAGTTGCTGAGCTAGGGACAGTGCAGGGGCCCCCCTGTGTGCTCCCCAGTGGACTGAGTGCAATGGAGACCCCCCCATACTCCTGTGGGATGCTCCATCTGCCCCAGCATCACAGCATTCACAAGCCATCTGGTACCTTGAAGTATGTAGAAAAAAACATTTAAAGTGGTGTCTATGTCTGAATCATCGAATCTTTGTGAATCTTTCCGAATTGATCTGGAGGGTTCCAATTTGATTCAGAGAGATTAAAGGGTCTCCTGATTCGATTCAGATTTGGAGATTTGGCCACCAAATTGGGTCAAAACTCCACTGAATCAAATCAGTGACTGAAGCTTCACACAGCCCTATCTAGTAGGATGGTCACTGGACTAGTTAACAGGGGACTTAGGTTCTAATTTTGGCTTTGCTACAGATCTGTTGTGTGTTATGTGGTCAAATCACACCATCCCACTGTGGCTGTTGTTTTCCCTGTCATATGGTTGATTTAAATAGTAAACTCTTTTGAACAGGAATTAGTTTTCATCATGTCAAGGACCTTGATCCTCACTGGGATAGCATAGTGTGACTGCATTACCCAGGATAACAATCCAGGAGCACCTGCTCCCCTTTAACAATGGTTTAAAATCTAGTGTATATGAGTGTAAGTATATGGAGAGTATAGGTAGAAAGAGTCTATATACTAAAGCAATATCATGTGCACAATTCTATCACTTCTTCCTTTTTGTTTGCAAGAACAAATTGAACTCTCAGGTTCAAACTGTACCTCCAGGTAGACCAGAGTAAATTCCTTTGATAGGAGTTGGGGGTAGGCACCTAAGGACAGAATTTAGCCAAAATAATTTTGTTTAGTACTATATAATTGTTTGTATTGTTTTGATGATGGAGCTGATGGAGGAAAAGAATTGGAAAATATTGCTCTTTCATGATTTTCATATTCACCACATTATGGTAATCTTAGAATGATGCTGTAGGAATCACTCTAAGAGTCATGACAGTCCAGGAATTTTGAGAGCAGTAAGTACTTCTTGGGGTGATACTTTTACTGGACTACATAAATAGTTGGATTAGAGTTAGACAAGCTTTCAAATGCAAGACTTCTTCAAATGCTTGTCTAACTCTATCTTAATTGCGCAGTTGGTTTAATAAAAGATATAACCCCAAGAAATCCTTGCCTCTATCATATTCAACTCATGGATTCTGTCCTTTCTGCAAAGACAGCTTTAATAATTTGTAGATGGAAACTGGGTTATGCTTTCCCTTAATTAACAAGAGCAATTCCATGGTTTCATCATCATCATTATTATTAGTAGTAAGATGATATGCCAAATATTCCAAAATGAGGAAGTCAGAAATGGGAGAGGGAAGTTTATTATACAAATCCTATTCATTGTGCATTAAGGAAGGTCACAAATAGTCAGGGCACTGGTTGTATGAAAACAGTATAAAAACAATGTTAACATGCTCAGTAAATCTGCTGCGATACTGAATGATTCTAATCTGTTTTGTAACTGAGGTCATGATGTTGCTGGTGATAGTGGGTTTTAATAGCAGGTGCTTACACCCAGAGGCTAAGTACAGACAGTCAAAAAGCTTGAGGCTGAATCGATTAAATCTTCCCAGGTTAATCTAAGATGCATAGATTGAACTAATAAATAAACAGCCACTCACTTTTAATTCTGGAAATGCAGCCACATGTCTGCAGAGGCCCAGGCCTGAAGCCAGGGAGTGCTAGAGCATGCCTCCCTGCTCAGCTGGAGCAGACAGCTTGGGCCAAGGCTAGCCCACCCACCCTATGAGGGGGTGGGGGCTTGTGGGAGAGGTACAAAGCATCCTGGGATGCTGGGGGACTGTGAAATAACTTGAATTTGGGCATCTGGGACAGAAGTTCAATAAACTAAATCAGTTAAGTCTGATACTACATCCATCTAGGTTTATCTTAAACCCATTTTGAAATCAGTTTATGCTCAACTAATGTCTGTTGTGCTACAGATTTGAGCCAGTTTCTGATCACTTACATGGGTTTATGTTTAATTTCTGTCCCTATCCACAACAAAAGGGCAAAATTAACACCAGTGAATGTTTTGGGCATACATAGAGCATAGAACATCATAATCAATATGGCAGCAGATTTCTTTCTCAGTTACTCAAGGCACAAGCCATTCATCATTTTGATGAGTCTCAGATGTCTGTACTTAAGGAGCTGTTCACCATACGACTTGCCCTTTTGGTAAAGTGGTTAGACCACTGGTTCTCAACCTTTTTAGACTCAAGGCACCCCTCCAAAACTTTCCAAGAATTTAGTGGCACCCTATTTTAAAAAAACTATTATAAATATACTTATGTATATTACCATATAAGCATTATAGTTATTTTATTAAATAATATGTTATTAATACTGATACGTGGGGCAGTAAGGGGCAGAGTCTGGTGACGTCTGTCTGGCAGGAACAAGGTACTGGGCTGCACATACAGCATGCAAGGAGTGCTGAGAGGATGGGAGGGGCAAGGGTGGGCAAAAGGACACATGAGGTCTGGGAGTGGGGAGGGAAAAGGCCAAGAGAGAGTGCCACTATGTGGCCACTGCCACTGCTGCCATGGTCAAGTAGAACTGTGCTGTGTGCCTCCTGCAGACCTGGAATGGGAACTGGCTGTGGCAGGACTGTGTGCTTTTGTTGCATCTCTTCCTGGTTCCACTCCAGACCAGAGGTGCTTAAGGTGGGTCTTCCTGGTGCCAGCAGAATCTGTCTCCAGACGATGGAGTGAAACTGCTCTGTGCACTTCCTTTTATCAGAGATACCATGCAGGATCAGACCTGCCTGCTCCAGCCATTTGTCAGTTTGTCTCTGTCAGAACCAAATCTGATAACAGTGCTGGTTAACACAGGGTTAAGTACTGACATGCGCAGACAAGCTATGGAAAATCCCCAGAGGGCTGACAAGCATGCCCAGCACGTGCCCCCTGTACGACCTCAGGCTTGTCAATCATGGCTCTGCCATGAGGTAACCTGACTTGTTACCATGCGCATGCCCAGTCTTGCTCCAAGCATGACATAATTTGACTAGAAATTTCCACAGAAAAGGTTACCTGATTGGCTACCTGTTTAATATAAAAGGCTTGTAAGTTTCTGCCCACAGCGGAGACCAGACCCGACCTGAGAGCAGAGACTGCTACTGCAGAGACTGCCTCTCAGGAGAGCCTCTTAGGCCTAGAGCCCTGGTTCGCTTCAAAGTTCCGCTGGTCTCCCCGCTACTGTGGACTCATGGCATACTTCTGCCTTAACTATCACCCATCTTTGTATCGATCACGTGTTACTGAACATTGTTCTGGCATTGACTACGGCACCAGTTCTCCACATTCCAGCTCACGCTTCTTCACCACCGTTACCGACCCGGCATCGTCCACGTTTCTTCATCGTTCATCGTTTCGCGTTCTTGTTTCTCGTACCATTGTAACCAAGCCTAAGACTGAACCAGCCTACGCCACCTTACCATCTTGGGGCGTATCACAGAGTAGGGCGCAGGAGCGACCGCGATCTCACTAGCGCCCCCCCTGCCGTGCCAAGTAAGTGATCCAGCACCCTCTTTTCTCGCCCGCCATGTCTTTGATGATATATCTAGCTTTATATGGGAGGCTGCCTTTAGTCCACCTGGACATGGTGCTATAACTATCTGGGCTCCTACTCTCTATGGGGTGACCTGGTGCACCCCAGCCGTATGGGCTATGTGTGCCTCCTACCTCCTCTGTAGCATGCCCCAAGCCTCGCAGTTATTCCGAACGTTCTCGTGTCTCTGATATACGCACCCTTGCCGGGGCCTCTCCGATATACGCGCCCTCGCTGGGGCCTTGCCCCCGCACTCGCCCTACTCCAGGCTCTGTCCTGCGCGCCCTGCACTCTCGGGTTCTATCCCACACT